TTTAGTGTGAAGGATTTCAGTTTTTGACCATTTAGTATGATATTGGCTGTTGGTTTTTCATAGTTGGCTTTTATCAGATTGAGGTATAGACCATCTATTCCAATTTTTTGTACAGTATTTCTCATACATGTTTTTTGGATTTTGTCCCATGCTTTTTGTGCATCTATTGAGATGATCATTTGCCTTTTGTCCTTGGGTCTGTTGATAAAGTGTATTACATTTATTGATTTGTGTGTATTGAACCATCCCTGCAGCACTGGGTTGAAATCCACTTGTAAGGGTGTATGATCTTCTTGATCATCTTCTGCATTGTATTTGCCAGTATCTTATTAAGGATTTTTGCTTCTATGTTCATTAGTGAGATTGTACTGTAGTTCTCTTTTTCTCTGCTTTGGTAATAAAGGTGATGCTTGGCTTCAGGAATGAATTTGGGAGAATTGCTTCCCTTTCTGTATCATTAAAGAGTTTAAACAGTAGTGGCAGTAGTTCCTCTCTAAATGTCTTGTAGAATTCAGCAGTGAAACCATCAGGACCCGGGCTTATCTTTGTTGGTAAGCTTTTAATTACGTTTTCAATTTCATTGATTGATGTTGGGTTGTTTAGAATTTTTAGGTTTTCTTCATTCAAATTTGATAATTCATATGTGTCTAGGAATTTGTCCATTTCTTCTGTGTTTTCCATCTTATTGGCGTATAGGTTCTGGAAGTAAGTATTGATTATCCTCTGGATTTCTGCTCGGTCTGTTGTAATTTCATCCTTTTCATTCCTAATTGCATGGATTTGAGCTATTTTATTCCTTTTTCTGATAAGGTTGGCTAAGGATTTGTCAATTTTATTTATTCTTTTGAAGAACCAACTCTTGGCTTCATTAATTTTTTATATTGTTTTCTTAGTCTCCATTGCATTGATTTCTGCTCTGATCTTTATAATTTCCTCCCTTGTATGAGATTTGGGTTTGTCCTGCTCTTCTTTTTCTAGAAGTTTGAGATTCAGCATCAGTTTGTTTAATTGGGCTCACTCTGTTTTCCTAATATGAGTATTCACTGCTATGAATTTCCCTAGTAAGACTACTTTCATTGTGTCCCATAGATTCCAGTATGTTGTATTGTCATTGTCATTTGATTGAAGGAACTGTCTGATTTCTTCTTTAATTTCCTCTGGGACCCATTGGTTATTCAGAAGTGTGTTGTTCAATTTCCATGTGTTTATGAAATTTTTGCAGTTCCTTTTGATGTTGATCTCCAATTTCATTGCACTATGGTCTGATAATATACAGGGGATAATTTCAATTCCTTTGCACTTACTTAAACATGTTGTATGAGCAAGTATGTGGTCTATTTTGCAGAATGACCCTTATGCAGCTGAAAAGAATATGTATTCTGATTTTTAGGGTTAGAACACTCTGTACATATCTATTACATTAATTTGTTGAAGAGTTTGATTGAGTTCTAGCATTTAGTTGTTCATTTTTTGTCTAGTTGATCTATCTATTTGTGACAGTGGGGTGTTAAGTTCTCCCACTACTGTTGTATTAGTGCTCATATGATTTTTCATGTCCATTAGTATTTGTTGTATATAGTTGGGCTCACCAGTGTTTGGTGCATAGATATTTATGATTGTCATCTCTTCCTATTGGATTGTTCCCTTTACAAGGGTGTAGTGTCCTTCTTTGTCTCTCTTAATCAGTGTTGTTTTGAAATCCACTTGATCTGCAAAGAGGATAGCTACTCCTGCATTTTTCTGGGTTCTTGTTGCATGAAGTATTGTTTTCCACCCTTTACCTTTCAGTCTATGAGTTTTCTTTTTGAATTAAGTGTGTTTCTTTTATATTGTTGGACTTTGCTTCTTGTCCCATTCTGCCAGTCTATTTCTTTTGATTGGTGAATTGAGACCCTTAACATTGATGGTTATAACTCATACATATTGACTTATCGTTGTCATGACTTTTTCTTTTTGCTGGATTCTCCCCCTTTGCGTTTAATGTGTTGTCGTGCCCAATGGGTTCATTCTGCTGGGCTTCATGGGGTTGTGATCCTCATTGTCTTTTCCTAGGATTTTGTCTAAAATTTTTTGGAGTGCTGGTTTGGTATTTATGAAGTTCCTAAGGTGCTCTTTGTCATGAAAGTATCTTATTTCTCCATCAGTGTTGAAAGATAGTTTTGCAGAGTACATCAATCTGGGTTGGAGGCTGTTTTCCTTTAGTCTTGTAATATGTCACTCCAAGCTCTTTTTGCCTTGAGGGTTTACATTGAGAAGTCTGCTGTGATTCTGATGAGGTTTCCTTCGTATGTGATTCATTTATTTTCTCTAACTGCTTGTCGAATTTTGTTCTTCTGTTGGGGTTCTGGAATCTTAACTATTATATGCCTATGTGTAGATTTTTTTTTTTTTGATCAAGGCTAGTTAGAGTCCTGTATGTCTCACTTATCTGTATGTCAAGTTCTTTCCCCCTGCTTGGGAAATTTTCTGCCATCACTTCTGTGAACAGACTTTTTATGTCATCATCATCTGCCCTCTCTCCCATTTCTTCATTGACTGTGATTAGTATTATGTTATTCTCTTTTGCATCGTCTAGCAGCTGCTGGATTGCTTTCTTGTGGTCCCTTACTATTTTAAAGCAATTTTTCTTTTCCTGGTCACTAATTGCCATCTTATCTTCTATATCTGAAATTCTATCCTACCATTGGCTCATTCTTCTGTGTAAACTTTCAGTGGAGTTTTTAATCTCCTGGAAATCTGTTTGCATCTGTTGTATGGATTCCATTTGTTTCCTATGTTGGGATTCCATTGTGTTCCTCAGCTCCTCTATTTGTTTTTTATCTGTGTCCTCTCTAAATTTATTAATCATGTCTTGCACTATGGGTACAATCTCTGCTTTTATCTGAGAAATTATTTCTGATTTCATTTTTTCCAGGTCCTCTTTTATTTCCAGTTCGGGGAGTCCAGGTGGTTGAATATCAGATTGTTCCATCTTGTTTCCCTTTGAGGTTGCTTTAGGTTATCTGGGAGTCTGGTTTTGAGACTTCTTTACCTGTCTTCTCATTTTGAGGTGGGTGTCGGTGTGTGTGTGCTACTGGCGCCCATGTGGCTCACCTCCTTGCTGCTGGGGGTGGCTCTGCTCTTTGGCACTGGGGGTGGAGGTACACAGCCCACTTTGCTTTCTTTAACTTCTACAGTGTTGGCATATAATGGCAACTCAGTAATTATTGGATAAGTGATTGAATAATAAGTACTGTCGTGCTTTGAAAATGGGTGTGACTTCTGATGGTTGCTGGCTAGAAAGAATTCATAATATAGTATTTTATAAACACCAGCATAGCTGGGCCAACACAAGGATCCTGATCAGATTTTGTTTTTGTTCCATGTAGGATCCTCGTGGGCAATCCATTTACATGCTCCTGTGACATTATGTGGATCAAGACTCTCCAAGAGATTAAATCCAGTCCAGAAACTCAGGATTTGTACTGCCTAAATGAAAGCAGCAAGAATATTCCCCTGGCAAACCTGCAGATACCCAACTGTGGTAATTTATTTTTAAATCAATGAATTCTAGTTGCTATTAATTCTTCTAATTGCCTTGTTGTGGTAGAAAGTCTGGGAAGATTACCACTTCCCACATTTTGTATAGTGTGCTGTTGCTGTCTCCAGTGAATCAGACAACATTTATGTGCAATGTGGAAAAGCCAACTGGGAGCAACTTTACTGGTGTTCTTTGTAAGTAGAATACTCATCCTGAATGGATGACTTTAAAAGTGCACAGAGAAAAAAATACAGTGTTTATCACTCCATCCATCCATTCATCCATCCATCTATCCATGTATTCATTTTGTCCATCCAAAAGCTATATGCTTAGAGAGTTTCCCATACAGGTCTCATCTACACTTGGTTGGCACCGAGGCCATGTATGGGGAATGATCTCAGGGTGGTGAAATGTTCTGGCAGCAAGAGCAAACACAGTTCATTCAGCATATTCCTCAAACCTTGTCACATTGCCAGATGTCTGTGTCTCTTGATGCTTGATGTGGTGTCCACATCTGCCCTTACACCTACTTGTCCTCATGAGTGGGTTCAGAGTCTCCTGCTTTACTGTTGCTACCTGCTCCTCTCCTCAGTATTTTTATCTCCAAAATTTCAAAGGGCACCATATGGCAGAGTCACAGCTCTATGTGAGAGCTTGTGTGGTGAAAGGAAGGGAAAAAGTCAACATCTGGTTAGGACTTTTCCATCCTTGACGTACCTCTGCGATACTGCCAAGGCATGTTCTTCCTCATTGCAATCTTAATCAGTTAATCAACCAGTTAACAGATTCACAGACAGTTGTTTGCTCTTTAGGGCTAAGGGCTGGTGACACAACAGAAAACCATGAAATACCTGGTTTTCATGCATAGGCACTTGTATTAACCACAATCAACTGAGTCTTTGTTTTTGTCAGTTCCTATCTGAGGTCCACTTTTATTTAATAAAATATACCTGCTACTTATTCTTAATGCACATTAATTACAAATGTAGTAAGATGCACATTTATTACAAATGTAATAAAAATAAATTTGAGTGTTTGTTTCTTATCCTGTAGGACCCTAGAAAATAACACCCTTCTCAGGGAGTTTTGTCACAAGTGGAGCCCTTTGGTTTCATCATGGGGCAATCAGGCTTTATTCTCTGTCTCAGCTTTCTCTGTAGCCAGAACTTTTAAAAAACCCAACTTTTAACATATATCTTTTCCTGAATGATAAGGGAGTAACTGTTCTCTGTTCTGGTACAAATTTGTACAGTGGCAAGAAATTGCCTAGCAGGACATGAAATCACTGTGGAATCACCTGGCCTGTGGCTCCCAGATCCCTGAGGCTGTGGTGGCCATGCTGGTTCAGCAACCTCAGAGAGGAAAAGAAAGAAATATCTGACTCTCATTTTTCAAGCTGCCCTTGGCAGACGTCTACTTTGCCCTTGCCTAAAACCAATTCTGTTCTTTCAGTGCTAAGTTTTGGCTGTGTCGGCTCCATAGCATGCGGGTGGTAGAGCCCCATCTCATGTGTTATTGATGGATCATTGTGATTCAGGTAGAGGAGTGTATTCCTTCTACCCGAATTTTCAATAATTTTGTATTTCTTTTTTCCACAAATGTTGCAATGAATTGTATGTATGAGAATGAGTTTCTCAATCCACTGTCAGGCTGCCATAGGTTTCATTGATCAGTTAGTACTGAGTGGTTATATTTGTAAGAGCACTCATAATTCATTTCAAAAAGCAGTGTCACAAAATGTGCCTGATGAATAACATACTTTTTAAAACTACTTTTGTGTTTTAAACTTTTTTCTTTTCCTGTTTTTATTTTCTTTCAAAGTTATTATTTATAATTGTACAGATGGTACTGATAATTTTATTGTAAAAATAATTTCCTGTGTTACACATAAAGCTTCCCTTTTTCTTTGTTATAACCATTACAGGTCAGAGATCGCAGATCCATCATACTCTTTGTAATCAAAGTATAATATTCATGGGAGACTATATCTTGATTACATTAAGTGTACCATATTAGTGGGTAGTCTACTTCCTATTTTCATTACCAAGTAATGTTTTCACATGCATCATTACTCATGATCTTTGTATATAGAAGAAGTTCAAATAATTTTATAGAGTACAGGATTTTTAGTTTGTAAGTGTCGTGAACTAAAATTTGACTGCATCCATTTATAGTCCCCTTAGAAGTTATATGTCACCCTACAAGATGTTGTTGCTGCTTTCTTGCTTTTATTTTCCTGATTACTACTGAGTATCTTATGTATTTATTAGATTGTGTTTATGCTTCAGTGACTTGCTTCTTTGTATCCTTTGCTTATTTTCTATAGTCTTTTTCTTTATTTTCATTGACAGTGTCCTTCGTCTTCCTCAATTGCTTGAAAATTAAAAAATATATTTCTACTTTTTGAAAAATATGTAAGGCCAAATTATGTACTGCACATACTTTGATATATATTTTTTGCATGTGTCTAGAGGTAACGCCTAAAAGATAAGAAAAAGTATTTTTCCTTCCCTGTGCTACTTCTGTCCAATCTTTAACTTCTTATTATCTGGGATTTTATTTTTAGATAGACACGTTTTTGTGAAGATTTCCTATTTCTTTGTATTTCTTGACTGTTGTGTTCAGTGACTGCCTCTTAAAGTGGTTTTCCTTTTGCTGCTGTATATCTTTTAATATTCCTTTCAGAGGAATTGAAAAAGAAACTCTAATTCTTTGCCTATTAGAAAATCAGCCTGTACTTTTGCTTCTCACTGAAGCTGGCTGAGTTAAAAATTCTAGGCTCAAAACTCTTAGAGCTTTCCCCTGGGAAGTTCCCACATGAGGCTGCTCCTCTGGCTTATGTTGGAGATCTCCCTTCTTCTTGTTGGCACCTGTTTTTCTACCCTGGCTCTGTGGCATGGCCTAGGTGGGCCCTGCCCTGTGCCGCCATCTTACCCCTCTTGCTATGGGTTGGCCCAGAGCCTCCTTGTTCTGTACAGAACACACTCCTATGTCCATTTGTGGCACTATTTCTTCTCCTTTATTCTGTTCCCCTGGTTTTTTCTTGTTTGGGGTTCCTCATAGTTTCTTACCCACCAATGATGTGTCTTTTTAATTTCTATCATGGTTCCAGATTTTAAAAATTGTTTTATATCTCCTCTAGACATTTAGGATAAGAAAGGGAAGGCTTTGGTTTGGGGTTTAGTCATGTATTAATTATCATCATAATGGTTTCCCTTCTTTGGTTCTTTAAAGAAAAGTTAGACAATTGAGCAGACAATTACACTAGAGTATTGGATTCAGAATTTTTCGCTGAAATTCCATGTTGAGGAAACCGTTTAATAACATACTAACATTTTCAAATTAGATTTTTATCGTTTAAAATACTGGATTCCTGATCAGCTGAGTTTTTCTTTTAAATGTGCTTTTAAAAACACATCCATTATGTTTAAGTATAGCTTCAAGGAGTTTGTCTTCTTTCTACACTTTTTTCCTTTATGAAACTTGGTAGATGACTGAATCAGCTGAGCAGGCAGCCCTGTGCGTTTTGTCCCTATAAACCAGTGATTGGCCAGTTGCCGTGGTCCTTGCATTCAGCGTGCCAATGGTGCTCCTTTCATTTCAGTGCCATTGGGATTTCTGTCCTGCATAAGATAACTTTTCTTTCAGTGCTTCCCTTTTGTAGGCATACTCCATGGTGTCTAATGAACCCCTTGAACATAATAGGCGCTTAATCAATGTTGGCTGAATTGATTGATTAATACATGCATGGATCATGTTTATTAATGAACAGGTTAGATCAGATTTTCATGGAATGTGGAGCATTGTTTCAGTTAATTAAAACAAGTTAAACATATTACTCTAGCCAATCCTTTTCATATTGTGACATTTTGCTGTCTCCTTTGACATTCTGTCTTCATTGCAAAAGAATCTGATCTTTTTCTTTTAATTTGGAGACATTAATTAAGCTTGGTGGCTGGGAGTTTTAACTGCCCCATTCCTACTACAGTCCAAATGCCTCACAACATTTTTCTAACAGCTCCTACCTGGTGCAGGTGACTAAGTGTATTCATGCTGTGAAACAAGGTGTGGACTATTTCTCTACAAGTCCTCTCCCTCTCCCCATCTGTCCCTTCCTCTCTCCTCTCTTTCTCCTTCTTCCTTCCTTTTTTCTTTCTTCTTTTTCCTCCTCCTTCTCTTTCTCCTTCTCCTCCTTCTTCTCCTCCTTTACCTCCTCCTCCTCTTCCTCCTCCTCCTCTTCCTCCTCCTCCTCCTCCTCCTCCTCC